AAAATATATATTTTTGTACTGATAAGCCTGAGTGGTCTGTTGACTGACCTTTGTATTTGTTCAAATAATTATTATGGGCAGGTTACAATATAAAAATGTTTGTTATAATCATGTTTTGTGATTATTTGACAGGAGTTTTACTTTTAAACTGTAAGTGTATATAATTTAGTTATGTTAGCTATGATAGTTTAGTTATGATGCAAATACAATAAAAATTAAACCAAGATTTAGAATAATTATCATTTTGATCCATACATTGGTAATGTCTGACTGGACCTCGTGCCACTTTATGTTCAATAAATTGGGCCCCGAGGTCAAAAAGAGTAAGAACCCCTGGTCTAAAGAGCTAAACACATTGTTTAAAATTCCTCTTTTACTCTAAACTATTACCAAATCCAACAAAACAAGCCATATGTTTTGCAGATATACTTATATAAAGTATGTTTTTATAAATTTTTGCTTTGTCTCTGCAACGTGAGTCAGCTGTGCTCTGAAGTGTTCAGCAGATTTTTTTGTGTGCATTCAGCTGTGTCAGTGTGAGCCCAAGAATGCTGCTACTCTGTCTTCCTCAGTGCTCCTGGAAGTGGCACAGAGTCTTGCTCTGAGGCAGAGAAACTTCAAACAGGACGCTGCTGCCAATAATCACACACAGGCCTGCTGGGACAGCTGGACTCACAACATAACCTCTACACACACACATGCACCGCTGGCCTACTTATAACTTCCTGTGTGTACTGGTGTAAAATATACAAAACATTCTCTAACACAAGGAATATATGCACGTTTTGTCTTTAAAATATTTATTCAACTCTTTTAGCATTAAATGTTATGTATTATTTTGGGTTTGCATTTCTGCATTTGACCATCTGGCAGTCCTACCTGTCCCCAGTCACCAGGAATCCATCGAGGAGGAGGACACCGTCCCAGACTGCAGCGGATTCGGACAAGAGGTTTGTTGGGGCTCGGGCAGTGTGAGGGTGGGAAGGTTTTAGTCAGGTCACTGCTTTTACACAAAGCAATTCGGTGCTTGAAGCCTGGGCCACATTTAGGTGTGCACTGTAGATGTAAAAAGAAGAAAAGGGAGAAAAGGATATGGATAGAATAAGTTACTATCTCACTTTACTGCAACTAGCTGACAATGCAAAATATCAGGAGAATTGAATGAAAATGGGCACATTTTTTTGCCACAATCTGTCAGGACATTTTGTTTCTACCTTTGCAGCCACCACAACAATTACTCAATCTGCCAGAAAACAGTTTTACATAAAGATAGGCAAATTTGGGCCAGTTTTAACAATAGTACAAATAGTGGTTCAGGATTTACATTATTTTGTATTTAGATTGCATTTTTGCAATCAAACTCTGTTTTCATACTTTGTGCTGTTTAACTTGTTCATATGCCGAAGCTTTCAGCTCAAACTGAATAGTGTTTTAAATTTTGAATCTTTTACACTTTTCAAAATATTCAACTTTTTATTTTTTTCCACAAACTAAAACATTGTTCTCTTTAAATCTGCTTCAGCAGACTTACTTATGGCACTTTTTATTTTTAGCCAGCCTTTTACTTATTTTACTAGCCCTATTTTACTTTTAGAATTTCACAAGCAATTTGCTGTTTTTAGCTCAGATTTAGATCAGAGCAAAACTAACAGCATGAGAGATGAGCGGTTAGAACTGGTGCCTCACAGCAAGAAGGTTGTGGGCTCAATCCCTGGTTTGGACCTGGAGTATTTCTGTGTAGAGTTTGCATGCTCTCCTTGTGCTTGTATGGGTTTTCTCCAGGTACTTTGGTTTCCTCACACAGACCAAAAACATGCATGTACAGTATGTATACAGGTCCTTCTCAAAAAAATAGCATATTGTGATAAAGTTCATTATTTTCTGTAATGTACTGATAAACATTAAACTTTCATATATTTCAGATTCATTGCACACCAACTGAAGCTCATCAGTCCAATTGCTCTGACTGATTTTCTTTTTTCTTTTCTCAGCTTCAAAATGTCTTGCTTTTCTCCCATAGACAGCTCTTCTTCATGTTGGTTTATCTTCTGTAACAAGAAATACCTACTTTATAAGTTTAAATTCAGACCAAAGGGTACATTAGTCATCCGCTTCAGGGAAAGTTATTTTCCATTCATCCATCCATTATCTATACCCACTTCTTCCTTTCAGGGTCACTTGTGCCCATATTCATTCAACAGTGTGTAAGGGGCGGGGTATCAAAAAGAAAAAATCAGTAGGTCCTCTGGATGGTTCTTCTTTAGTGAAACGTTTCGTCTCTCCTCCAAGAGACTTCTTCAGTCTGAGGAGTTTCAGGAGAACTCAGCCTTATAAGCACTGCCTCCACATGGTGGACAAACAGGTTGGTCACATGCAAAATAGGGCCATCGCCTAACAATAGGCTTGATTAGCTCTATTGTTCATAGAGGGTCATGTGCCCCATCACCTGACTTATTGGTTTGGATGCTGTGGTTCTTAGGTGTTGTGTTATGTGTATGTAGTGAATGCAGGCGGGGCTCAACATCCCCTTGTTTTTGTCCCTCTTTCCCTCTTTGTGTTGGGTATCGTTGGGGCCCTGATTCACACCTTTTGCTCACTTGGGGCTGAGTCCTAAGCCGCTTTTACAAGGCATATCTGCGATCATGGCGCCAAGCCCTGTCCGGCTAAATGCCGGTCCGTTCATTCATAAAACAAAGAATAAGCCGGCCACATCCCGCCCTTAATGGAGCATTCACAAATCGTTTTACATAGCGGGAAGTTCGGAGGCATGAAAAAAAAAACCCAGCTGCGATTACGTATTGCTTACGTATTTCACATGGGACCGCTGACGTGAGTGTAAACAGTAGTACCCGTTCACACCGAACGCGTCTGAAGACGCGCAATGGGAGGAGCGTCTTTGTTCTTTTTCCGGTCTGTTGATGTTTGAAATAAAGATAAAGATAAAATAAAATAAAATAGATTTGCTTTAAAGAGCAAGCGAATGTTGCGCACAGAGCAGATAATTAATTCACCAGATAATTTAGAGAAGGTTTCTCCACCCCACCCCAGCTCAGAGAGCTGCGTCTCACCACATCATGCAGGAGAACGCGGGTCTCAGCATCACCCCAGTTAACGCAGCGACAATAAACGAGTGCACACACGGAAAAAGTCAGGAGCGGTTCGGCTTTGTTTACAACTTTATATGGTGGTACAGTGGGCGCGGGGAGAGCACGTCATCATTCCTCCCATTATTCAAATCAGCTGGAGCTGCAAACACATTCGCCTCTGTTCAGAAGTGGGCAGAGGCGGGCCTGTTACTATCAAGCTTCGCGGCTCAGGGGTGGGAACATCTGTTTCGCCTTTCCGTAAACGTGTTTTTTTCTGAATGCTCTAAGGAGGACAGATCATGGCGTTAGGCCCGGCGTTAGGCCCGAGGATAGTGAGCATCAAAGCCACCTCCCAAGATGGCATTAGGCCCGGAACGACACGTTTTGTGAATGAGGCTATACTTGCAATAACACCATTGTAGGAGGAGGACAACTGGACAAGAAGGCCTCCACCTCTGTTTAATGGTGGACGGTTTTTCTTCACAAAGATGGTTTCCTTTACTCCTCTCTCAAACCAACATTCCTCTCTATCAAGGATGAGAACATCTTCATCCCTGAAAGGG